TCAAGTCTTGATGCTGCATTCTCAAATAGTCCAGGCTCTCAGTTTATTTGCTCAGCATACAGACTGAATACACACGGCAGAAGGATACAACCTTGACACACACCTCTCCTAATTTGATACCAGGCAGAACCCCCTTGTTCTGTTCTAACAGTTCCCTCCTGGTCTATGGACAGGTTCGGCATGAACATGATGGAGTGTTCTGGAATTCCTATAATGCAAAGCTTATTATGATCTGCACAGTCAAATGCCTTTGCATAATCACTGAAACACAGATAAACATATTTCTGGTATTTTCTGCTTTCAGCCAAGATTCATTTGATATCAGTCATACTATCCCTTGTTCCATGCATGAGGGGTACTCCCCCAAGCCTGGCATTTTTCAAAGCTATGTATTTAATTTTTTTAACAAAACAACCTGTCACCTCCAAAGGACTCTCCATTACTCTTAATACATTTGTCAAATCTGTGATTCACTCTTGGAAACATTTTTCAAACTCGTCTGTTTGGATGGCTGACAGCATCTCCCTTGTGTTTTTCTTCACCTCTTCCACACAATTAAATCACTGTCCTTTCATGTCCCTCTTCATTCGCAGAAATGAAAGGAAGTCACATGGAGTGAGGTCAGGTTGAGTAAGGTGCATGGGGCAAGAGAGCCATGCTGTGTTTTTAATCAAAAACTGGTGCACTGAGATGGCTGCATGAAAAGGTGCATTGTTGTGGTGGCAAAAACAGTTCCCCATCTGCCACAATCAGGCCTTTTTTGTTGCACACTGTTATGCTATCTTTTCAGAACCACTAAATAGAAGGCTTGTCATTAATCAACATTTCACCTTTTTTGAAACGAGAAAACCACTTGTTTTTCCCCCCATAGCGTTGTCCTTGTTAACTGTGTTCAAAATCACAACCATTTTTCGCAGCATTTTTCCCAATTAGGAAACAAAATTTCACAGCCGCATGCTATTCTCTTACATTGGCTATCACAAAAAATGAGGTTCTAGCCAAACTGCTTTCACGAAAAATTTACTGTGACCAGAGAGAACCTTCCCAGGCTGCGCCACTGGGTGCACTAACTCAGAGTGACTTACTTGATGTTTCCCTAGGAGGGGGAAATGGGTATTACGGAAGTTCTGCCCAGCAGAGATTCCCCCCCTCCCCTTTTTTCTTTTTTTGGGATACCTCCTCATATTCTTCAGAATCCAGCTCAAGTTTCTGGCAATTCCCTGTTGAAGTACTCCAGCAATTCTTTTTGAATGAATGTAGGCAAAATTTTGCTTGCTTATGATGTTCATGTTTGATAATTTCTGCATGCTGTTGGATCACCTTTCCCTGGAATGGGTATCAATATGGAAGTATTCTAGTCACTGGCCAGGGAGCTCTCTTTTAAACCAGGGATGCCTCTCTCAGCCTCCCTGTGGAGGCAGTTATTAAACACTTTCCAGCACACAAATGAGTGTATCTATCCACTTACCTACTGATCCACATGGTTGTTTGCACATTTGATTTCTTGACTGCTGCTTCCAGAAGCATTGATTATGGATTCAAGCAAGATGAAACCCTTGACAACTTCAGTCTTTTCTCTGTTTAGCACAATGCTAGCTCTTGGGCTAGTTGTGAGGATGCTGCTTTTATATTGAGTTGCAATTCAGACGGATGGCCGCAGTCATTGATATCCGTGAGCAAGTGCTTCAAGTCCTTAGTACTTGCAGCAAACAAGGTGCATCATCTGCATATTGTTAATTAACCATACTCCAATTGTGAAGCCACTTTTTTTCTCAACAGTTTTTTTTTTGGGAGGGGGGGCACATAATTTACTTATCATGCAATTCAATAGTTCAATCATATCAGGAAGAACTATACAATCATTACCACATCAATTTTAGAACACCCCCACCCCATGATTAAATAACATTTAAAACGAGTTGTGTAATCACAGTCAGTTCTCCCTCCCCTCTCTGACCTTCATTGTTTATTCTTGAGACCACCTCACCCTCTCTATCTCCCACCCCACCCCCAACCCTGTATCCCATCCCCCAGAAGCCCTTATAAAAGGTATTATCACTAGGCATCCACTCCTCCTGTGCTTCACAAACTGGGAAACCCAACAGAAACAATAAACCACAATAGAAATAAGGTGGTAAGGATAAAACCATAAAAGTATAAAGACAAAAATACAAATCATGGGTAAGAAGTAAAAAAACCTATCAACATTCAAAATGCCAGGGAAGAAAGTTCTTCCACTTTCCTCTTCCTACAGTCCAGCTTCTCAGATTATTTGCTCCATAAAGATTACAGTTTAGAAAGCCCTTTGAGGGTAGTTCTACTTTGTCATGGAGTATCTGTAAGTCGAAAAATAATTCTAAAGGTACTGAACAATAACAGTTTGGTCAAAGGAGTTAGTACATTTTAACTTCAAATTTTTTGTGTTTCCATAGATGAAAGTTAATTCTATTTCTTATCCCAAATTCTGTTCAGATAGTTTTGCCTAACAAAGTGTATAAAGGATTTTTCAATGGGAATATATGATAACATTAAGACATGCCAATAAGAAAATGTCAACGTTGAGACAATCCAAATTTGAGTATACAATTCCTGTCAACAAACTTCAAGGAACCTGGTGGCCCACTGGTTAAGTGTTCAACTGCAAATCACAAGATGAGTGGTTTGCAGCCTCTCGATGTTTATGTGGAAGGAACGACGCACCAGTCGGCTCCTGTAAAGATTAACCTGCTGCCATCAGGTCGACTCCAACCCAGAGCCTCGGAATCCACAGGTGCCGTTCTGGTCTGAACTATCAGCTTTCTACAAATTGGAGGGGACTTAATGGCGCACAAGTTCACAGGGAGAAGATAATGCCCGGATCTTGTCACCTTCCAAGTGGAAAATCTAAGGAATTCAAGACTGCAATCCAATTCCAGTGTGCAGTGAATTAACAACACAAAGTCATCGATTTCCTCCAGTCTGGTACAGCTTAGTTTCAGCTGCGGGGGGCGAAGGCCAGGGGGGGCGGATGGTTCCTTTTCCTTCCTCTGATGACTTCAATTTCAGGAGTTCCTAAGAGAGCTCATGGCACCCACCGAATTCAGGAAAGAAGCCAATGCTCACCTCACCCTCAAGAGCAACTATCCCCGTAAAAACGGTGTTTCTGGAATCAGTACCTACTTTTGTCAAAAGCCATAGCAGAGACTCTATGTATTGGAGTGAAAGTAACTGGGGGGGAAAAAGCTCATTTCAGCCTTCTCAGGATGCGGGTCAGTACACCAATTTCCAGAGTTCGTGACTTGTCAACTGCTACTCTTTGGGGAGGAAAGGAGGCACATCTTGGCACTTTAGGTTTATATCTGGGGGGGCGGGGTGGGGGGAGTCCCCTATGCTAGCTGTCTTTTAGAGAGTGGCATTTGAGGTATTAATTTCTTTCCTGCAAAGGGTTAAACTTAGGAGTAGCAGCCTAGCCACCACATTTGACTGTGAAGTGACTTTCCTTCCAATGCAGCTTAGGAGGACACGACCCATTTTCCCTTGACATCCTAAGGGCTGGATGGAGGGAGGCTCTCCCTAGCAGCCTAAAGGCAATATTCTGTGTGGGTCGGTGCCTTCCAGTTTGTTCCGAGGGGCTGTGCCATCGGACACTCCTGGCTGTGGGATGATTTAGGCTTTAGATACCGACCGCCTGCAGCGCTTTCTCTCCCCTCTGAACCCAGTCGGCTAGGTGCCACAGCAGTTAAATATGAGGCTGCTAATGGAAGAAAGGTCACTTGTTGAAACCTGCCAGCTGCTCTGTGGGAGCAAAGATGGGGCCATCTGCTTCGCTACAGACGACAGTGCAGGAAACCCCGCGGGGCAGTTCTATTGTGCCTGAATTGGTGGGCTGGCACACAACACCTACCGTGTCAGAGGAAGACCTGGGTGACGCAAATAGTAAAGTGCTCGACTGCTGACAGACAGATTGGTGATTCACAGCCAGAG